TGTGGTGTGTAATATGTTATCTTGCAGAGAATATGAATGCCCCAATCTTGAATTACTAAGGAGTGTTAGATCAGCTTTCCATCTTGTGATCTATTATTTGCTTTTAATATCAGACATATGATTTTAAGATTTTTTTTTGTAGTTTGTGGTATATATGTTATAGTTGATTTGTGAATCGTAATCTCATTGATGCACCACCGAGAATGTGTGGCAAGTCTTAACAGTTTTTCTTAGCAATTCCTTTTAGAATTTTGTCCTCAATACCAGAAAAAGTGAGATAATGTATATCTTTTTATGGCTTTCAAAACTAATTGTAGTTTCATCCATCGATTATAACATTTCTTTGTCTCGGCCAAAGATCAATGCAAACAATTTGAGTGTTTTATTATTTGTCAAATTTTAGCACCCCTTTTTCTCACAATCAAAAACTTATATATTTCTGTACACTGTTCCCTCTTCTTAACTTCCTTGCATTTTTCATGCTTCACCTCCTTACACCTACTAGGCCCCAAAAGAAAAACAAGAACACCAATTTTTTCCACTATTATAGTTAATTATATCTCCATTGCTAGCACCATCATCATTAGCACTAGCACTGAAACAGTCAAGACTACATAAAAATAAATAAATAAATAAACACTTGTATATAAAGAAAACAAACAAGAGAGGTTAAGGAACTTGTTAACCAAAGTTAAACAATTATATTCAATCAAACATTTTTACAAGCACTTACAATGCGTCTTACAAACCCAGATTTCAATCCAAATACTAAGTGCATCATACAACTTAGATTTCACACCAACCATATTTAATCAGGCATTTTTACAAGTGCTTACAATACATCCTACAACCCAAATTTCTAAACAAATACTTATTTGTTACCAAAAATCCCAAAAAACCCCCACAAAATGCATAATCATCATCGCCCTTTGCTTTGTCCTCCAAACCACCATCTTTGCCACCCGTCAATCTCACAATCTTATGCCCCAAAACCCCCAAATTATGGCTGAGTTACACCTCAATCGATAATCTCACCCCTTTAGCCTCACTCGACATTCGATTCGCTATCGTGTTCACCGTGAAGAACCCAAATCTCGACCCCTTTGAGTTCTACGACACCTATATTCAATGAATAAGAGAGAGTCGGATCGGTGAGTAGAGAGCTAAGGCTTTGTCGATGAAGAATGTGAGTTTCAAGTGGAATGCACTTCTTCTTTTTCTTTTCTTCTTCTAAGTTTATTTCGAATTTGGGTTTCGTTATTGGTTTAGGAGAGAGAGCTCACAAACGTTTGAGAGGTCAGGAAAAGAAGAAAAGAAAGAAATAAAGGGGAAAAAAAGGATACCAAAACGACAATGTTTTGGACCATGGTAGGAGCAATGACAGAGGATTCAGACTCATTTTAGTTTAATTTTTGACTATTTTAACAGGCTAAAATAATTGTGTTTGAGAAGAGGGTTGATTTTTTTTATAGTTGGATGTGATATTTGTGAAAGAAAAAATAAAAATAATTATGCATTTGATATGACATTTGATTTTATTGACTATTTTAACTAAAAAAACCAAAAAAAAAAAAAAAAAAAAAATTAACTAAAAAAACCAAAAAAAAAAAAAAAACCCGTTTGCCAAGCACTCCCATTGTCTAAACCAACTCTTTATGTTGCCTAGATGCTATAGGCCATTATTATATTTCATTTCCTTTGTATTAGGAACATCCATCCACTGAAAAAAGTTATAAAAAAATAAAAAGCATTGCCATATTCAGTCTATATCATACAAATTTTATTGTTAATACCTACAATATTAATGTGGTAATTTTATTGTTTAAATAAAAAGCATTGCCATGGTAGGTTGTTCTAACATGTGAAGTTTATATTGAGCCATATTCAGTCTATGTCATATAAATTTTGTATCATTTTTTTATTTGTAATATCATTACTCTTTGAATTATTAATAATGTTAGTTACATAAAATTAAAATATAAAAAATATAAATGTCAGTGCTCCTTGTCTAATATATAGACAACCAAGTGTATTTGAAGGTTTTAAACCTCGATTTAGTTTGCTTGTTGATTTACATAATCTTCTACCTTTTAATTTTATGATTTTTTTTTCCTCCTATAATTCATTTGAGAAGTGGTTGTTTTAGTATTTTTTTTTTAATTTCTTATTTTTTTGACTAAAATATGAGGTAAAAAAATTATTTTTTGGCCTTTTACTATAGAAAACATATATCAAAAAAGAGTTTGGTTTTGCTAAAGTAGAGAACCTCAACTTTACAAGTGAAGTTCGTGCATTATGATATCAATTTGTACTCTCTCAGTGATTTAAGCCATTCATCTTATATGACAAGTTAAGAAAAATATGTACGCAAAAAATTAGATTGATCAAGCATAATTAATCATATATATCTTTATAACAAATGGATGATCTATTTTTAAAAACATGTATTACTGTATAGATAAAAATAATCTGATGGAATGACAATCGATATTGGATCTTTTTAATTTTTTGCATTAATAATTTTCCTAGTTAATTGTATAAGATGAATGGTTTAAATTACCGAAATAAGTCCAAATTAGTTTCATAATGGGTCAATTTCATCTTAAAGTTGATATTTTCAACTTTAGTAAATTTGAACTCATTTGGTTTTTGGTTAAAATATTTGCCTCCCAAATGAGATCTATAAATTAGCTAGTGAAATTAATTATCTAAAGATCTTAAACTTTGATTCAGCATATGAAAAAATATATATATATATATACAGAAAGATTCAACTTTCATTGAGTTTTTTTAAATTTAAATTTAAATTTTTTATAGCAATATTTATTATCTATGAATTTATCCACAAGATTTAAAATCTTTTCACTCTATCATTAAATATGATTCCTATGCCTCCCAAATGAGATCTATAAAATTAGCTAGTGAAATTAATTATCTAAAGATCTTAAACTTTGATTCAGCATATGAAAATATATATATATATATATATACAGAAAGATTCAACTTTCATTGAGTTTTTTTAAATTTAAATTTAAATTTTTTTATAGCAATATTTATTATCTATGAATTTATCCAGAAGATTTAAAATCTTTTTACTCTATCATTAAATATGATTCCTATACTTTTACTTTTATCAACACATGAATTTAATAATTATATTTTGAAATAATTTTGTATTGTTATCATCTTAATATAAATTTCTTGTATCATGGGTATGGTAAATCATGTTCCCACGATGTTCCTACTAGCTAGTAAAAAAAAAAAAGTGGCCATGTGGACAATGGCCATGTGAACAATGAGGGCGGCTGGCTTTCGCATGGAAAAATTATTGAGTGGTTTAGAATTAGAAGCTGATTATACCACTACAACAATTTATACTTTTGACGATTAAATTTTTTTTATTCATCAAAAATTGTAGAATAGACAATTAAAAATTATATTAGTCGCCATAGAATATGATTTTTAGTTACTAATTTTTTTGAGTAGTTGCATCTTCATTATTGGCAACTAAAAAAAAATTAATCGCAAAATATGAACAATACACGACTAAAAATTATTTTAGTCTTCATTAGATCATGTTTTAGGCTACTAAAATTTTTGTTAGTCGTGGTACACCAATTTTTGTCTAATAAAATAAATTTAATCACCGAAAACCTAGCATAATGTTTGCTATTAAAGTTTGGTGACCAAAGTTTTGGTTGGCAAATATTCATTTTAGGTGACTAAAATTTTTTTAGTCACTGTAAGGTAATTTTTGCCTACTAAAATTATTTAGTTACTAAATAAAAAACATAAATTTTACTTTTATCTTTGGTGACGAAAAAATTAGTCGGTGAATATTTCTTTTCAGTGACCAAAATACCTTTAGTAGCCAAAATGGTTACTTTTGGTGGCTAAAATATTAGTCGTTGTTTGTTAAATGTTGGCTACTAAATAAATTAGTTGGTATAAATTAACCTTTGGCGACAAACAACAAGTTTGATCGCCAAAGGCATACAAAATTTTGGTGGGAACATTGGCACCAGTTCTTCTTAGCATTTTTGGAAATAGGGTTCTCCTCTTCTCTCTCCCTCTCTCTCTCTCTCTCTCATAGACACACACACACACACACACACACAGAACCAGTCACCACCAAACCTCACTTCACTGTAGTCGTTCACCACCATTGCTTACCGTAAGACGCACATCGCCACCACACCGCCGCAAATCGCACCACCACCGCCATGATACGAATATGTTCTCTCTCACTCGTTTTCTCTCTCTCTCTCTCTTTCTCTCTCTCTCTCTCTCTCGCTTGCTCTTTGTCTCTATCTTTCCCTTCCTCTATTTTCCCATTTCTCACTCTTGCTCTAGGGTTTATATTATTTATTTAGTTTAATTTCTTGTTTAGCTTGTTTTTGGTTTAATTCTTCAAATTGCAGTAAATTTGGGGTTGCATTAGTAGATTGTCTGGCTAATTTTGCAGTTCTATTTGTTTTTGTTGAGGGAAAAATTTTGATTCAGTGAGGCATTTGAGTTTATCAAGGAAAAATTTAGGGTCCCTACGGTTGTGTGTCCTGCTTTGGGGGGTTTAGGAGCTGGGTTGATAGCTATCAAGTATCTCGGAATACTCTACTGAGTTTCACTAATGTTGATGAAATTCTTCATATTGGAAAGAGGGCTTTGGTCATTAGTGCTAATTCATGGGTATTAGTGGTGATAAATGTGAAGGTTAGAGTGAACCTGTTGAGATTTTGCAATTTCATTCAAATGGTTCTTGGAAGCTGATGATAATCGTGTTTTGTTTAAATTAATTATTACAACTGTTTCTGTTACTATAAGGAATTAATGTTAATTGAAGAAATTAAGATTTAAATAATTTGTTGGATGACTCTCATATTCTTAATTTTGACTGTAAGGGTTAACTTCTTTTATTTATTTATTTATTTATTTTTATTTGTTATGGTAGTGTGTCACTATTAGGTGAATCTTAATATCAAATTTATATATGAGAGAAAGTATAAAATGAGGTGTTTGAAAGCATTGAGGCGTTTGATAGTAAGAATTTTTTACGAACCAATGCTTTCAAACAATGGCTGATGAGCCCCAAGCCATCAAATGATCTCTGCTTCATTCTTATTAACATGTCCAGTACTTAGATGGAGTATAAATATAGTATGAAGGTTGTGGCTGAATAAATCTGTGCCAAATAATTTTAGTGTTCTTTCTTTCTTGAGTATGTGCATATATGAAACTTCAATCCAAAATATAGTTTTAGAGCTTTTCTTATGCCTTCTCAAGCGCAATTCCAGGCAAGTGATTTCCTTGTTTCAAGTAAGAGTCATGCAGTTAAGGAGGAAAGAGAGTTAGATGATCTGGTGTACTCTAATGATGTCTATGTAGATACAACATCTTTACTTGAACAGGTAATTGTCTGCTTTGTCAAATACTGTTTAGGTAGATAAATAAACATGATTTCGTTTAGTATAGATAATCCATTCTACAGGAGAACAACCTGGGCCATCAAATCAATCTGGTTTAAGATTTATTAGTGTCATTATCAGTAAATCCAAAGCTCTTAGGTTTGAGCAGATGTTGTTTCGTGCTACAAAAGGCAACATGCTTTTCAATCAGGCACCAACTGATGAACAAATCTTGGATCTTGCATTAACTGAAGTGGTCATTCTCTTATTTATATTATTATCTTTTGGTCTTTTCGGATAAATTTTCTTTCTACGTATTTTCTTACTATAGCTTATAATTTGAAAGCCTTGAATATATTCTACTTCTTAATAGTATGCTTTCTTCACTAGAGTGCTATGTTGGTGTACTTCTATTGCTTTGAAGACTATGGCCTGGATTTCTGAATTCAACTAATTTTGCTTGTATATTGCATGTGCAGGTTGAGAAAATTGTTATTGTAGTGTTCTTCTTGGAGGAGCAAGCAAAGACAAAAATATTGAAAATTTGTGAAGCATTTGGTGCAATTTGCTATTTCGTACCCGAAGATATAATGAAACAAAGGCAACTAACTCAATAAGTATGCTGTTAAATTGACTGGCTGCATTTTCCTACATGCTTGCAATGTTCCTTTTATTTTTGATTGATGTTTGTGTAGCACATTATGTAGTTTAGTTTGCTTATGACAAGCAAAATATGTATGGGCCTTTTTGTCTTTATGGGATACATGTATTTCTATATTTCTCATTTGTTTTAGGTTTTGTGTATGATAGACTGAACATGCTGAATTTTGATGTTACAAAAAAATGTCTTGTCAGAGAGGGTTGGTGTCCAAGAATTGCCAAAACTCAGGTACTTTGGTCTCCTCTTATGTCATTCTTGTTTTGGGCTAAATATCTGCAGTTGCTTCCATTATTTATTACATTATTATCAAAAAGGAAAAGGTTTTATTATGTGCAGATTCATGAAGCACTGCAATGGGCTACAATTGATAGCAATTCACAAGTGGGTATAATATTTCACACAATGGATGTTGTGGAACCACCTCTAACATACTTCAGAACCAACCACTTTACAAATGCATTTCAGGAAATTGTTGATGCATATGGGTAAACTAAAATGTGGTTTTTTATTTTTTATTTTATTTTATTTAATTTTTTTTGGCGTGGACATATTTCTTTTTGTTATAATGATTGTTGATCTTACAATATAAGTATCATTTTTCTTAAAAATATCTGACGAAAAAAATTTCTTATTTTTTCCATACTTTGGTTACATCACAGTAACCTTAAACAATAATGAACCTCTTTGTGAGTAAGCCAAGCCATTATGTGTTCTGGGATAGGTCTCATCACTTCTGATCCTTACCATGATTTAGAATTCATATTTGCAACTGACTACATTAATGGTGTAATTGGTGATTTGATTTTAATAGACTTACTCACCTCGATGGTCAAAGATAATTTGTTTGGAATGAGAAAATTTCTAAGTTTCTTGGAAGGTTGTGGAGGCACTAATCTAGTTTTCTTTCCTTGTAGATTGGTTTGGTTTTGAAGAAGTTGTTTGAAGATGGTATCGTGAAGCGCGAGAATTTGTTTATTACCTCCAAACTCTAGTTTGAATCAGTCTTTATTACCTCCAAACTTTGGTTTGACTTTATGACTTTATGCTCTTCATAATGCTTGTCCTTTTGATATTTGCTGTATAATTAGTTTTGATTACTTTGTCTTTCCTTCTTTCATTTTTATTTTTTGTAGCCAATTTTTCTTGAAAATTTATACAATTGATGCTTCTAATTGGATGCATTTTGAAATGACCTTTGTTTATTTGGAGTTTGTCTTGTATATATATATATATATAGGACCTGTGGGGACATACGGGATTTAATTAGCGCACATAGGGATGTCACAACCAACTTCCCCATGACAAATAGGACCTGTGACAACACATGGAATGTAATTAGTACGTGTAGGTTGGGAGCTAGAGCCGAAAATGTCTTAAACTTAACCTAAAAAAGGCGTTAAGGGGGTGAAAATACGAAACAGCCCCCGAACCACCATGCGGATGTTACGACCACCTTCTCCATGACAAATAGGACTTGTGACAATAAACAGAATGTAATTAGCACGTGCAGGTTGGGAGTTAGATGCTCTTCATAATGCTTGTCCTTTTGATATTTGCTGTATAATTAGTTTTGATTACTTTGTCTTTCCTTCTTTCATTTTTATTTTTTGTAGCCAATTTTTCTTGAAAATTTATACAATTGATGCTTCTAATTGGATGCATTTTGAAATGACCTTTGTTTATTTGGAGTTTGTCTTGTATATATATATATATATAGGACCTGTGGGGACATACGGGATTTAATTAGCGCACATAGGGATGTCACAACCAACTTTCCCATGACAAATAGGACCTGTGACAACACATGGAATGTAATTAGCACGTGTAGGTTGGGAGCTAGAGCCGAAAATGTCTTAAACTTAACCTAAAAAAGGCGTTAAGGGGGTGAAAATGCGAAACAGCCCCCGAACCACCGTGCGGATGTCACGACCACCTTCTCCGTGACAAATAAGACTTGTGACAATAGACAGAATATAATTAGCACGTGCAGGTTGGGAGTTAGAGCGGAAAACGCCTTAAATTTAACCGAAAAAGGGCGTTAAGAGGGCGAAACTGCGAAACAACCCCTGAACCACCGTTCAGATGTCACGACCACCTTCCTCGTGACAAATAGGACCTATGAAAATAGATGAAATGTAATTAGCACATGTATGTGGGGAGTTGGAGCCGAAAACGCCTTAAACTTAACCGAAAAAGGGCGTTAAGGGGGCGAAACTATGAAAAAGCCCCTGAACCACCATTTGGATGTCACAACCACCTTCCCCGTGACAAATAGGGCCTGTGACAATAGACATAATGTAATTATCACATGTATGTTGGGAGTTAGAGCCGAAAATGCCTTAAACTTAATCAAAAAAGGGCGTTAAGGGGGCGAAATTGCGAAACTACCCCCGAACCACCATTTGGATGTCACGGCCACCTTTCTCGTGACAAATAGGACCTGTGACAATAGACAGAATGTAATTAGCACGTGTATGTTGGGAGTTAGAGCCAAAAACACCTTCAACTTAATTGAAAAACGGTGTCAGGGGGGCGAAAATTCGAAACAACACCCAAACCGTATGGATGTCACATCTAGCTTTCCCATTCCAAATAGGACTTGTGACAATAGACGAAATGTAATTAGCATGTGTAGGTTGGAAGTTAGAGCTGAAAATGCCTTAACGCGAGCGAAACTAGAAAACAGCCCCTGAACCACCGTTCGAATGTGACATCCACCTTCCCTATGACAAATAGGACCTGTGACAATAGACGAAATGTAATTAGCACGTGTATGTTGAGAGTTAGATCCAAAAACACCTTAAACATAACTGAAAAATGGCGTTAAGAAGGCAAAAATGCGAAATAGCCCCCAAACTACCGTATGGATGTCACAACTAACTTTCTCATCACAAATAGGACCTGTGATAATAAACAAAATTTAATTAGCACGTGTAGGTTGGGAGTTAGAGCCGAAAATATATTAAACTTAACAGCCCCTGAACCACCGTATGGATGTCATCGCTAGCTTCCCTGTGACAACAGAAAAAATGTAATTAGCACGAGTTGGTTGCGAGTTAGAGTTGAAAACGCGTTAAACTTAATCGAAAAAGGGCGTTAAGGGTGCGAAAAGGAAAAACTGCCCCATAACCACCATATAGATGTCACAGCCAGCTTCCCTACGACAAATAGGACCTTGTCAATAGACAAGATGCAATTAGCCAGTGTAGATTGAGAGTTAGAGCCAAAAACGCATTAAACTTAACCGAAAAAGGGCGTTGAGGGGGCAAAAATGTGAAATAGCCCCCAAACCACTGTACGAATGTCACAGCCACCTACCCTATGACAAATAGGACCTGTGACAATAGACAAAATGTAATTAGCAAGTGTAGGTTGGGAATTAGAGCCAAAAATGCATTAAACTTGATCGGGAAAGGGCATTAAGGGGGCGAAGATGAAGAAGAGTGCCATGGCGGTCTCTATTTCTGCCCTAAACCTCATTGAATCGGTCTCTTTAATCCCTTCATAAACAACCAAATCAGACCTTCAAGATATGTTGTTGTTTTGGATTCTTATAGATGGATTGTTGTTTTGGATTCTTATAATGTCAAAATAGTTTGTTGTTGCTTTGGATTTGGATTCTTTTAACAAATGATTTTTTTTTTTGTTTTTTTTTTTCCTTGCCTTCAAACTATTTGATAAAATGTCTCTTAGGCTTCTCAAAATTCTAAGCCACGAGCCTAACTTATTGACAGTGTAATTGGTGCTCAAACATGTACTGAATCAATAGCTCCAAATCTTAATCTGTTGAAGCCACTACTTGCATATTCAAATCTTATAGTGTTTTCAATTAGCTACTTCACTAATTTTCCCTCATTTAGTATTGCTATATCAGTTATAATAAATATTGTGCTATTTATCTTAAATTAACTGTTATATCCTCATAAATCATTATTTGCCTATTTTAGTTGAAATCTTTGAAATTACAATTTGTTAAGCTAAAAGGAATCATTGACTGATTTTTCTTTATTTAGTCTTGCTATATCAATTGATATATTCGTTGTGTTATTCATTTAAATTCAACTGAGTTAGTTATCTAATTTTTTCCTTCTCCATAAGCTAAATTACTTGTTAAATAAATTGAACCATATTCTGTTTAAACAAAATTCAAGCTCTGAATTTTTGATTACTTGCCTCACTGATTTTTGTTGCAGATTGACGATGTTGGCATGGATATAGTGATGTTTTTGGGCCAGATTGATGATGTTTGCATGGATGCAATTTACATTATATTTTTTGTTTATCGAAAACATGTACACCTAATATGTTTTGTGTAGACACCCCTTTTTGACCGACCTTAAGACTCAGATGTCATCGATTGAGCGCTCGGTGATGACGCAGGTTGTGCTCGTTCTGAGGTTACAAAGTCTCGGTTGAGAGCCTTGCCTCTGGACCTCGGGACTCTTTTGTGCTTGGCCTCAGTTTGCGAACCAGGTTCTGTTTTCTCTTCCCGAAGGGAGGGAGAGGTCTCGTAGACTACGAAGGGAGGGAGAGGTCTCGTAGACTATCTCTCAGTGGCCATAGGCTACTTTTCGTGGTCGTAAACCACTGTTCCTGTTTGGAGACCAGTTTTCGATTTTCGAAGCCGTCGGTCGTGCGCCTCGGTTCAGGACCACTTAACTTTCTCCGTTTGGCATGGTTTTTGGAGAGCTTGAACATTTTGAACCTTCATTTTAGCTTCTTGAGGAAGCTTGAACCTTTTGAACCCTTATTTTAGCTTCTTGAGGAAGCTTGAACCTTTTGAACCTTCGTTTTAGCTTCTTGAGGAAGCTTGAACCTTTTGAACCTTCATTTTAACTTCTTGAGGAAGCTTGAACCTTTTGAACCTTTGGTTTAGCTTCTTGAGGAAGCTTAAATCTTTTGAACCATTATTTTAGCTTCTTGAGAAAGTTTGAACCACTTGAACCTTTGCTCTAACTTCTCCAAGAAGCTTGAACCTTTTGCTCTAGCTTCTCCAAGAAGCTTGAACCTTCTTGTTTCTCTATAAGAGAGGGCCTCCCTCTCCTTTAGAGAGGTTGAAAAAAATTTCTCTAAGGAAAAGCACATATATCTCTCTATATCTCTACATTCTAGGTTTAGAAAGGGTATTTGTTCTTGGCCTTTAGCACCACACCTCATAGCCACACACCTCCACCATTGATCTAAGGTTCTTGGAGGTCTTGAGAGGTCTCAAAGAGCTGGTTTTTGGTCCAAGAAGCTACTGGTTTTGCTGAAGCTACAAGGGTAACACACTATTCCCTCTTTTAAGCTTTATTTTGCTCCATCTTTTAGCCATACTTGAAAGAATATTTGAGCTTTAGTGCAAACTAAAAAAAGTCTTTTTTTGAGGTCCTTTTCATGTTTGTTTAAGGTCATTTTGTTGTTAGGGGTCATCTACCCCCTTGCAGGCTTCATTTTGCCTTGTTTTGAGCCATGCCCTAAGGCTTTTGTATTGATATTTGCTTGGCCCTTTTGCCACTGAAATCCAGCAGATTTTTAGTAGTTAGGATGCAGTTTTGAGGGCCAAAATTAGAGAGGGGTGACCCTCTCTGTCCTTGTTTTGTTTTCTAGCATTTTTGGCCTTACAAAGGAGCCCTTATTTTCATGCTTCCAAGCCATGTTTTAGGCCATTTTTGATGAGTTTTAGGACCTTCATAGGCTCTTTCCAGAGCTTTTTTTTTTCCATATTGGATGTCCACCTTACATGTGTAGAATAACCCTCTTCATAGCATATCAAAGGAGCATCTCATTCTTGCATGCATTAACCATGTTTCAGTGGGTTTTTGGGCTTTATTTTGCATGTCATACCTCTATCTTATGCTGGTTTAGTGGCTTCTTGAATGCTTCACATGCTTGTAGTGTAAATCCTCTTCACTAGCTTATAATGCATGTTGTTTTGGTCTTTGACTCTAGCATATTTTGGCCATGTTATAAACTGATTTTGTGCATGTTTTGGACCGGCTTAGCTCTATTTTTAGGCCTCATGGTCGAATGATGTTTGCTATGCATGGTTGTAGTGCACTACCCTTGCCTAGTTTTGAGTTTTGAAGCCTATTGCATGCTTATATTGAGGTGTTTGCATATTTTTGGGTCATTGTGCATGGTATTTCAGAGCATGTAAGGTTGCCATGTTCCTATGTTTTCCACTC